GTATATATATATATATATATATATATATATATATATATATATATATATATATATATATATATATATATATATATATATATATATATGTATATATATATATATATATATATTTTTTTATATATATGTATATATATATATATATATATATATATATATATATATATATATATATATATATATATATATATATATATATATATATATATATATATATATATATATATATATATATATATATATAAACTAACTATATTTAGAAATAAGTCAAATATAAAATAAATTGTTTAATTAAATAATAGTAAAATTAAAATATAATAAAATATAATATAATATATTTGAAATATAATATAAAATAAAATAAAACAAAAATATTATATAATTTAAATTAAAAAGAAACTAAACTTCAATTAAAAGTTAATACAATAAAAAATAATTATTATCAATTAATAATGAGTAATAAAAATGTTTAATTGTATAAATATAAATAAATAATATATTTTTTTATGCTTTCAGTCTAGTATATTTTAAGTGTGAAGTGCTTAAAATAAAAATGAATGAATGATTCATAGTATAGGTCACCATTATATTGTGTATGCATGTATGTATGTATGTATACACACACAATAAATATAAGGTTTTTATAAAACATAATAAAATAAATACAACAAATTATGAATTATAATAAATAAAATAATATAAAATACAAAAGAAAATTTGATTAAAAACAATAGAAATATTAAATGATTATTAATAATTAATAAAAATACAAAATAAAATAACATAAAACAAAACATAATTAAATAAAAATCAATGTATGAATCTGTCACCATGGTAAAATAAATAAATACTATTAATAATAATAAAAATAATGTCTTAAAAACATTTCACAATTTTACAATACATTAAAATTTTAAATAAAATATAATAAATACATAAATTTTTTAAATAAAATTTAATAAAAATAAATATTACTTATTTATACTATAATATTATACACTTTTAATAAATAAAATAAAATAAATAGTGTAATTAAAAACAATAGAAATATTAAAATATAATTATTAAGAAATAAGAAAATAAAAATAAATTAATAACAAAACAAAATTTAATTAAATAAGAATGAAGGAAGGAAGGAAGGAAGGAAGGAGGGAAGGAAGGAAGGAATGTTATATATTTTTAAAATCCCTTCTGCCTCCTTACTCATGCTCTTATTTTTCTAAGCAATATCAGTTACTTCATTTAAGCTGCACTTCTTTATTTATTTATTTATTTATTTATTTATTTATTTATTTATTTATTTATTTTAGTGGAAAAATGGCAAGTTTCAACTCCCATTTAAACTAATAAAACTCCATCACTGTTAACATCCTGTGTTCTAAAGGTCTGAATTTTCCAGTGAGTGAAACACACATACACTACATTAAGTGCTGCAGAACAGGCTCAGGAGATGTGTATGAAGAAAATACATGTGCATTCAAATGCAACTGAGTGCTAAATAAATAAACAGTATACAGTCTGACTAAAGACACTGAATGCTAATACTGTGTTGGCGTGTGTGCATGTGTTATAGACAGATGACAGGAGTTTATGGCTGTCTGCTTTAATACCTAGCGGCATCTCCTGGTCTTAAGAAGCTCCTCTGGAAACTGAAGCAGCGTGTCATCCGCACGTCTGCACGCACAATCAACTGTCATGCTGTGATGCCTGGGTTTTAACTTACAGATCACTTGTGAATCCTGTCACACACGTGACGTGCATCAGCTATGACTGCAAACACACACAAACAGGGGCTGAATGCAGATGAGACCATGCCCCAAACACACGAACACACAAACACACACACAACGTCAGCTCAATACTGTACATCCCATCACACTATAACATGACACTTTTTATTATCCGATGTGACTTATATATTTATTCATTCATTTATCAGAGGTCACCACAGCGGAAGGAACCCCCAACTATTCTGGCATATGTTTATTCAGCAGATATCCTTCCAGCCACACCCCAGTACTGTAGTAAATAATCTGTTGTGGGGATTTTATAGTTGCTATGAAAACACAACAACTATAGTAATTAATCTGTTGTGGTGATTCTATAGTTGCTATGGTAATGCAACAACTATAGTAAATAATCTGTTGTGGGGATTTTATAGTTGCTATGAAAACACAACAACTATAGTAATTAATCTGTTGTGGTGATTCTATAGTTGCTATGGTAATGCAACAACTATAGTAATTAATCTGTTGTGGTGATTCTATAGTTGCTATGGTAACGCAACAACTATAGTAATTAATCTGTTGTGGTGATTCTACAGTTGCTATGGTAACGCAACAACTATAGTAATTAATCTGTTGTGGTGATTCTATAGTTGCTATGGTAACGCAACAACTATAGTAATTAATCTGTTGTGGTGATTCTATAGTTGCTATGGTAACGCAACAACTATAGTAATTAATCTGTTGTGGTGATTCTATAGCTGCTATGGTAACGCAACAACTATAGTAATTAATCTGTTGTTGTGATTCTATAGTTGCTATAGTAACACAACTACTGTAGTAATGCATCTGTTGTGGTGATTCTATAGTTGCTATGGTAACGCAACAACTATAGTAATTAATCTGTTGTGGTGATTCTATAGTTGCTATAGTAACACAACTACTGTAGTAATGCATCTGTTGTGGTGATTCTATAGTCGCTATGGTAACGCAACAACTATAGTAATTAACCTGTTGTGGTGATTCTATAGTTGCTATAGTAACACAACTACTGTAGTAATGCATCTGTTGTGGTGATTCTAATGTTGCTATAGTAACAACAACCTTAGTACTTAATCTGTTGTGGTGATTTTATAGTTGCTATAGTAACACAACTACTGTAGTAATGCATCTGTTGTGGTGATTCTATAGTCGCTATGGTAACGCAACAACTATAGTAATTAACCTGTTGTGGTGATTCTATAGTTGCTATAGTAACACAACTACTGTAGTAATGCATCTGTTGTGGTGATTCTAATGTTGCTATAGTAACAACAACCTTAGTACTTAATCTGTTGTGGTGATTTTATAGTTGCTAGGTACTGCAATTACTGTAGTAATGCATCTGTTGTGATGATTCTCTAGTTGCTATGGTAACACAACTACTATAGTAATTAATCTGTTGTGGTGATTCTATAGTTGCTATGGTAACGCAACAACTATAGTAATTAATCTGTTGTGGTGATTCTATAGTTGCTATAGTAACACAACTACTGTAGTAATGCATCTGTTGTGGTGATTCTAATGTTGCTATAGTAACAACAACCTTAGTACTTAATCTGTTGTGGTGATTTTATAGTTGCTATAGTAACACAACTACTGTAGTAATGCATCTGTTGTGGTGATTCTATAGTCGCTATGGTAACGCAACAACTATAGTAATTAACCTGTTGTGGTGATTCTAATGTTGCTATAGTAACAACAACCTTAGTACTTAATCTGTTGTGGTGATTTTATAGTTGCTAGGTACTGCAATTACTGTAGTAATGCATCTGTTGTGATGATTCTCTAGTTGCTATGGTAACACAGCTACTATGGTAATTAATCTGTAGTGGTGATTCTAAAATTACCATGGTAACACAAATACTATAGTAATCCGCTTGTCAAGTGTAACTTCACGCAAAGCGGCTTCCGGGTCCAAGCGCTCTATTTAACTGAACGGGGAGACTCATGAAATGGTAATAATAAACGTTTACAAAGCGATTTAATGCCTTCGAAAATCATGATCGCAATATATATGTCCATGCCTAATATCGGATGGTCAGAAAGTGATTAATTTTTTATAAATTGTTAAAATTTTGGTATTTGTTATGCAGCACGCCCAGAGATTGTTGTGTACACTATGACTTTATGTAAAATTAACTTTAATGTGTGATAGGAATAAAACGTGATCATAAACGAATGATTTCTCCACTCAAATGTGTGGCGGCTTGCACCCGGAAACAGTATACATACGTCACAAACACGTCACCACTTAACAAGCCGATTCATCTGTAGTGGTGATTCTATAATTACCATGGTAACACAACTACTATAGTAATTAATCCGGCACCCCTGAACTCTGATCCGGCACCTGATTTTACCGATCCCCCTTCATTCGCCCTTCATCCGCAACACCCCTCCGCCATACAACACCTTTCCATCCTCGGGTATTATGCTGAATAAGTTATCCCTGATCTGTTCTGGGACCATCGCAATTCACAAATTAGGCACTGGGTAAAACAACATTGATAGTAATATAAATAAGTACCCAATACTGTAGTTTTCATAAATACTCTTCCTACGCTACAACACACCACAGTTTACTGTAGTAAAACTCTAGGTACACTACAGTATTTATTACATTTTAGCAGTTCACTATAGTTAATACCACAATATGCAGAAGCATTCTTTAACAAAGATTTGCAAATACTATAATATACTTGAATGTGGTTTAAAATTACTATAGTATTCATTGTAAATTATTATAGTATTTTTATTTGGGTATAATTAGATATTGCATGTAATT